CGGGCGGGCGGCGTCCTTACGGCGGCGGGCACCCGAGAGCCGAGTCCCTGCACCGGCGCGGGCCTTCCCCGACCTGCTCAGCCGCGCCCCTTCCCTCCCCAGCCCGCGGGTGATGGCCGACGGCGGGGCGCCGGAGGTCCTGCGCCTCAACGTGGGCGGCTGCGTGTACGCCGCCCGCCGCCGGTCCCTGTGCCGCTTCGAGGACTCCATGCTGGCGTCCATGTTCAGTGGTCGCTTTCCTCTCAAGACGGACGAGTCAGGTAACTGCCCGCCGGAGCCCTGCCGTGAGTGTCCGGGGCGGGGCCTGCGGAGTGCGCGGCTGCCTGGGCACGCCGGCTGCGTTAGGCTGGCCCGCTCCGCGCCGGCCTCGCTGGGGCTGTGCAGCGTCCCCGAGAGCACAGAAGAAGCACCGGGTCCCGGCGGCGCGCGCCGCTCGGGGCGGTTGAGTGCGGCGTGGGGGCCGGCTGCGCCTGCTGCTGCGGTTCACCGCGCCTGAACGTCTTCGCTGCCCCGTGTGCGGGGTGACAGTGTGGGGCCGATTTCCAGGTGAGCGCGCCCCTCTCCGGGGAGAACAGCCGGCCGATGCTGCCCAGCGCCCCTGTGGGCTTGGGGTGCTCCCGCCGCCTGGCCTGGCCGCATCCTCCGGTGCTGACCTGTGTGGCCGAGAGCTGGCAGTGTAGTGATGCTGCCAGCGACCCAGATGTTCAGAAGAAACTCAGATGGCAGGATAGGACCGGATCTGGGGAGGCAGGCCTGTAATCCCAGCACTCTGAGAAGCTGAGACAGGAGGGTTGCAAGTTCTAGCCTACTATGGGCAATTTAGTGAGACCCTGTCTCAAAAATAAAAGAAGGGCTGGGTATGTAGCTCAGAGCAAAAGCCTTCGGTTCAGTCTTCAGTAGTGGAAAAAGGAAAGGGTAGGGTTGTGGGGCTGAGTCCCGTGGGACCTACTGCTGCTTGTGGAGGACGCCTAGCCTGTCTTCCAGCCCTGTCTTCTCACAGCGGAACCGATCCAGCCCTGTTGGAGGTGGGCTTTGCTGCAGAGGCCCTGCTCGGGTGGGCATGGAGGTCTGGCCAGAGCTGCAGCGGGTGTCCGCCCGGCCGGGAGGGGACAGGCACAGCAGCAGTGCGCAGGGACTAAGCTTTATTTCCTCCCTGTTTTACCTCCTGCTGCTGCTCTTTCAGACTTTCTGGGGAGAAAAGAATTCTGGAGAGGCCCGAGCAGGAGGCTTTTCCCCGTTCTGCTAAGTTGTCTAGGAAAAGTGTCTTCTCCTGAGGCGGTGCTAGCATCGTATTTGTTCTTCTCACAGCGTGATTCTCATGCTCCCTGAGTGAAGCTAAGGAGTCCAGCCGCAGGCACACATCCCCAACCCCCACACCCCAGCCTGTCCTGTGCTGCATCGAGCCAGCGTACAGTGTCCGGCACCCTGTGTACCCACCTTGGATTTATGCGCAGCAGTCCCCTGCCCTGGGCTGGCCCAGTGTCCTTCCTGCCAGCCATCGAGGTCACCGTGGTGGTGGCAGTGGCCACCATAGGTGGGGCCTCAGGGTTGAGCATGGAGCCCCTCTTCCTGTATGCAGGGTGGGAGCGCAAAGCTGCTGTGCGGAGTGGAAAGAGCAACCTCCTGTCCAGAAGGAGAGTCCCTCCGGGGCTGACCGGCGAACAGGCAGGGTTCAGCTGCTCGTGCAACAGCAGAGTTTGTAATTGCGGAGGGAGCCAGGCTGACTCAGACCTGCTGACTGTATCAGCTGTTCGTGAGTCCGTGCACTCACTGCGCCGGTGTTTTCCAGGGGCTTGTGTCATTGAGCGGGATGGACACCTGTTTAAATATCTTCTGGATTATCTTCACGGGGAGGTTCGGATTCCTGAAGATGAGCAGACGCGCATTGCCCTGCAGGAGGAGGCGGATTACTTCGGCATCCCCTATCCTGACAGCCTGTCCGACCACTTGGCCACTGAAATGGAAACATACTCTTTAAGGTCAAATATAGAACTTAAAAAGGTCTTGGCGTTTTAAGATACATATTTATTTATTATGTGCAAAGCAATGTGTATTGCCTTGTATAGCCTGTGTTGTCACATAAACCAAACATGAGACAGTTTTAATAATTTCTGAAGACATGTTAATTACTCATATTATTTTTAAGGTCAAAATCCGATTATAGAAGAGAGTATTACATTGCCACTCAGTGGTTTATCAGGTTTTCTATGTGTGTAGTCCTAGCACTCTGGGAGGCTGAGACAGGAATATCCCAAGCTCAAGCCCAGCCTGTACAATTTATTGATTTATTTAGAGCCTGTATCAGAGTGAAAAATAAAAAGGACTGGGTTGGATTTCAGTGCAAAGGGCATGGGTTCAGTCCCTGGTACTGCAGGAAGAAAAAAAATTTTACCAGGCTATATACCTCACTGAACATTTAGTATTATTTGTTGGCTCTTCAAAGTAGAACTGTTCCTGAATTTCTCTTCAAATTAAGAAAAATACTCCAGTGTATGCGAACATCGTGGTAATGTTGATTTCCTTACAAAAGAGTGGTCATGTTATGTAATAAAATCTTATCTGATTTAGTGAGTATAGTAGTTTGTTGCAAGGTTAAAAGATTAGCAGTTCATTTTAAAAGATTAGTTTTGATTAATTCATTTTGAAAGGAGTAAATCTTTTAAAAAATGTTTCAATTTAAGTCATTTTAAAGGTGTTTCTTATTGATGACATCTGTAAGGTCTGTGTTGTTGATAAGTGTTTCATTTGCTATAATTAGCATCTTTGGGCATCTAAGGAAAGTCCTTTCCCTGGGTAGTTGCTTGAGGTGGGAACTGCCCTGCCCAGGTATGCATCCTTGGCTCAGCGGCCAGTGCTCAGGAAGCAGGCAACGGGTGCTGGGGGTGAGGAGCTCCATGGCCATGGAGGTTGGTTTGGGCCCCATGCCCCTGGGAAGTCACATGGATGTCAGTTCTGCAGAATTACTTCTGAGGTCAGGGCTTGGGCCAGCAGTACTGCAGGCCACATCTGTAGAGGGCGCTCTGAGGGCTGGGTAAAGGCCGGCAGGTTGGCTTTCCTCCTCCAAACCCTGTGCTGTCCGAGTCAGTGTCGCAGGACCGAGCACGCTGTGTCGTTCACCAGCCCATACGTGACTGTGTGGTGTTGGTGACACATGGCACCTATCAGGGACTGCGTGGCTCACCAGGGGGTGCAGTGCCTACTGCTTTCCCTTTGGTGGTCACTGTCTAGCTGAGGCCCTGACAGATGTGCAAGTGAGGTGTAGGACCCATGCTGAGCAAGACAGCAGCAAGTGGATGTTCAAGGTGCGTTTGTGCGAGGCGTGAGCACAGCCCTGTTCGATTACGGGTCAGCAAATGCCGGGCCTCTGCGTGGTGTTGGCCCCTGTTCTAACACTTGAAAGCAAGAGCAGAGCAAGGCCACCACGGGCGGTGCTGGGAAGTGATCCCCCCCACTGCACGCTGGGAGCTGGAGCTGTCAGCCCTGCAGGTCGGCCCCTGTCTTGTGTCTCTTGACCTTAGATATTGCCCAGCACACAGTAGGTGCTCAGTATTCAAATGAGTGAGTAAACAGGCAGAGAAATCAAGCGTGTTCAGACGGTACATACTGAGGTCACACGCATCTCCATTTCGGACATAGTCACCTGGCTAACCTGTGACTGGGAGCAGAGTTAAAAATCAGAACCACAAGGGCTCGTCAGTAGAAGGTGAAGGGATGACTAAGGGAAATGGGGAATTTTTGAGAAGATAGTCCAAAAAGGAAAGAGATCTTTGAATCATGGTTTGAACAATAATAAAAGGGAGAAATGTGGGTAGTGGAGAAATGTTATAAAGATTGTATTTTATAAAGAGTATAAAATTAAACATGATACTGGCAGGCTGAAAGAGGAGATTAAAAACTGAATTTCCTTGTGGGGTGGGTTTGGGGCGGTATTTTTGTGATTGCCTCTCAACTCATCACAACTGTGTTTGAAGATTGGCTGAAGTTTATTGTCTTTTTATTTGCCTTATGACCATCTTTATTTGTGGCTGTACATGAAAGAAACAGTGGATTCATTTCTTATTTGGCCCCTGATTAAGCCCCAGTGTTACGTATGTTTTTGTTCCAGGCCTTGGCAGACTTCTGCGGCTCTTACGGCTTGGTCTGCAGTGAGCCCTCAGTCTGGGTTCTACACTACCTCAGCACCTCAGGTGCCAGCTGCGAGAGCAGGGTCATCGGCGTGTATGCCACAAGGGCCGATGGCATGGATGCCATTGAGCGGCAGCTGGGCGGCAGGATCCACAGCAGGAGCATCTTCAGGAGGTAGGCCTGCGTGCGTCCTCCTAGGAGGTGTCACTGTGGGAGACGTTATCAAATTAATACTATCCCTTAGTTATTGCGGGCTGATCAGGTCCACACTCTCCTAAACAAGTGGACAGCAAAGGAAAATGAAAGAGACAAATGGAATGATTTCAGGGCTCCAGGAGGATCAAAACCCTCTCACAGAATTTGAGATTCTCTCAGGGCTAAGACCAAGACCTTCTCTGGGTGGCCTGTATATATTTAGTTATCAGAACAAGGGAGGGGAATACTCAAGAAGGGTGGAACCACTCAAGGACTTCTCTAAGTACGGTATTAAGTTAATCCACCCAGGAGTGAGATGCCTGAGGGTATAGTCTTTATCTAGTTGAGGTTGGATCCGTGTGTCCTTGGCCTTGATTTTGTTTTATCCTTTGAGGCTTTCCAGCTTCATCCACCATTACAGGTTTTAGTAGGGCTTAGTGACTTAAAGAGCCCACCACCCATCTCTAGACAAGGAGCCTAGGCCTTGGATAGACTCACAAGTAAACACAGAAAGCCAGTTGGTTAACTTAAGTCCTTCTCAGAGTTGCTTTGGAGTGGTCTCCATCAAGATGTCATGGGAAGGCCGGGGGAATTAGCTTAGCAACACAGCACCCGCCTGGCAAGCATAAGGTCCTGAGTTTGATTTTTGGTACCAAAAAAAAAAAAAAAAAAAAAAAGATGTCATGGGACCAGCAGGGCTGATGCCCTGAGAAGCTTTAAGAGGAAACCAGCCCTGGGTCCCTAGCGTGCACGTCCAGCCTCCACATGGCTAGGGACATGGAGACGGGAATTGTCTTGGGCCACTAATAAAACATGTAGTTAGCGAATAGAAGTGACAAAACTTCCTTTAAAAAAATAGTTTTATTAAAACAACAGTGCAAGCTGTATAGGTAAGTTGGAAGGTGGACAGGTTTCCCTTAGAGGCACACACGTGGGAGTGGGTGGGACACTGTCACGCGTGGCTGGTGGTGTTTCCAGGCTGCATGCCCCTGTGCCTCTGGAGCACACAGTCTTCACCTTGACTGGATGGGCACGGCCCTGTGCCTCCCCTCGAAGTGTCCTGCTGTCGCCCCTGCGCTCCACGCTGGAGTACCAGGTGGAGCATCACAGAACGATACAAGGTCATGTTAGAAGCTTGTGATCCGGGGGCACCCTTCCCTAACAATCAGCGGTGCCTGGGGACCCTCTCGTGCTCTTTGAGGAATGAGCCAGCTGCCCTGCCCCTCTGTGTGGTCGGGTGCCATGACTAGGGTGTGTTGAATCCTCTCAGCTTGCCCTCTTAGTGTATTTATTCTCTGTGATCTTACTTGCTCATCTCATGTAGCAAAAATTATACTTAATTCTTTGAGCCATGATTAGCATCTAACGCATGACTGTGAGCTTGTGTTTTCGCTGATTGGAAAGGTCATCAGTTCCTAGTTTCTTTATAAGCGTGTATGCCTTTATAAGCATCTCTGTGACATGGAAGTGCTTGGTGGGCTTTTAGAAGAGTTTTAGTCAGAGCTTAATCTTTTCTAACTACTATAATTAGCTGATTTTTTAAAAATTTGATTTTAGAAATTTGCTGGGTATAGTAGCACAACACCTATGATCCCACCATTCGGGCAGCTGAGGCAGGAGGATCACCACGAGTTTGAGGTCCACTTGGGCCTGCCTGAACTACAGAGCAAGACCCTGTCTCAAATCCCATCCCCCTCCCCAAAAAGAGATGTGTTGATGTATCTGTGTTTTATATTGGGGAATTGACAAGTATTTTACTATGGTAAGAGATCAGATGCAGGTGAGCCTGTGGTATGTATTTGTGAGTGTGCACATGTGCTGAAGGGCCACAGAACGACGACTGCAAGTCCATTTCCCCTTCAGCATCAGCCTGAGTATCCCCGGCCTTCGTACCCGTACGCCACATTTTCATGACTTTCCCAATTTTTCTAGAGAGGCGGGAAATAACATCCAGTACATTTGGAGCTATTACTCGGTGGCAGAATTGAAGAAAATGATGGACGCCTTTGACGCGTGGGAAGGAAAAGGTACGGCGTGGGTCCTTGATTTCAGGGAAGCAGGTGGATTTCCTCACTGAGCCAGCAGGTGCAAGTGCCGCCGTTTTCTGCATGAGGAAGTGCGTTCCCAGGACGTCGACCGCTCAGCCCCTCGTGGCACCGAGCAGCGCCCTTTCAAGTCTGTAGACGCCAGGGCTTGTGAATCACATCACGGGCAGGGGAAGTGGGGATGTTATTTCAGCAGTAGGTGCCGTGACCTGGCTGTGGACCAGTGCTCGTTAGTACACGCCTGGAGGGCAGCCTGGTGCCTCACCCTGGAGGGCAGCTGGGTGCCAGGGCAGCCATGGGGCTCCCTTCGCTTGCCACCTTGGAGGATCCAGAGCTGCAGGGGAGAGAGGGTGTTCTGAGTCGCCACAAATGCTGACTGTACGTTTGTCAGACCCACAGAACCTGCGCCTGAAGAGGTCACGCCCATGTAGGTTCTGGCATAAGCCTGATGTAAGCACAAGGTAGACCCAGCTGCCCAGGGTAGGGAGCTGGAGCCCGGGTGGAGGGGGCACCACGGGGCGGGGCGGCGCTGCACACTGGCTCGGAGCCTCGGGGAGGGGCGGCGTCTTTTCTGTCCCATGCCCAGCTGGGTTATTTTTGCTAGAGCTTTAATGGTAAAAAGAAAACAACTCCTTTCCTGGGAGGGGTGCAGTTCTTCTTTTACTGCCAAGCAGTTTGTATTCAGTGTAGCTCTTCGAGCATTTTTGTGTCTGTGTGATATTTTATGTTTTCTAACAACTGAAGTGAAATGCCCATAACACTTCTGTGTGTCAGGGGTGTTGGCCACAGCCCCTGTGCTGGCGGCCACCGCGTCCCGCTTCCAGACCATTCTGCCCGAGCATCCAGCCCCGCCCCCGTGTCCCCCACACGGCCCTCAGAGCCCGGCTGCTCTGTCCCCGGAGTCACCTGTCCACTGTCCATGTGCTGGACGCAGCGTGCGGCTGCTTGGGTCTGGCTCCTTTTGTTAGCGCGCTGGTCCTGCGGCCCGGGGGACCGGCTCTGTGTGCAGCTGGGGGCAAAGGGCAGGGGTTTGGGCGGCTCGGGTGAGTCCTGGTGCGGGGTGTCCCCGCTTGGCTCCGGTTGCTGTGGAGGAGGATGTGGTGCCGCAGCAGCCCGGGGAGGGGGAGGGCAGGCCCAGGCGCCGCCGTCAGCGCGACAGCGCTGCCGGCCACAGCCCTGACTGTCTCCGTGCTCCGTCACATGGGTAAGGGCAGCTGTCACCCTAGTCCTCTGTGGTGCGTGCCAGGGCCACCACCCTTTCAAAGAGGGTGTGGAAAAATTAGGCGCAGACAAGTGACTTTCCGAGGTCACTTTGGTGAGCGACAGTGGGCTCGAGGCCGGCACACTCAGCTATTGCCTTGGGCTCACCAGCAGCAGGACCGGGTGGCTCAGTGGGCAGCGCCCAAGACCCAGCCACAGAGCTGCTATGAGGGGGTGAGGGTGGGGCTGGGGAACCCAGTGTCACCAACACAGGTCCTGTCCTCCACAGGTGTCAGCTACTGGCGGGTGCCCCACGGGCTGGTTGAGTGCTGGACCCTGGAGCAGCGGCCGCTGCTTGGGAGTGCATGCCATGCTGCGCCCCTGCGTAAGAGGTGCTCTGGGCGACTCGTGCTATTCGTGAGGGGACGGGAGTGCAGGTTCTGGCCTGAGCAGGCCGTTTGAGCAGCTCCACGACACCAGGCCTGAGCGTGGAGAGATGCAGTCTGGCTCAGTCACTGCAGAGCTCCCACTGTGCCCGGAAAGGGGGCTCATTCCGTAGCGTAGTGAGCAGGGCTCCGTGAGCAGGCCCAGTTAGCTGTGCCAGGACAGCCCGCTCCCCACCCCTCCGCACGCCTACGCTGCGGTTCTGGGAGGACCTGCTGTGCGTGTACGTGGTTAGCTTTCGGGCCTGTCAGGGCATGGGCGCAGAGCAGTACCTAGTGTGACCCGGTGTAACGCTCGCGTGTCCCTCCGGTTATAACTCCGTGGAGCTGGTACCGGTACGTGTATTTTAAAAGATCCGGGCTGTAAGCAGGTGAAGCGCCGTTGGAAGGCTTGCTCATGGATGCACCGATCTTCTTGGGGGTGAGGCGAGGTTAGTCGCTAGGGCCCTCGTGACCCATTTTCGGGAGTGACCCTGAAGGTGCAGTTTGGGGATGTTTCTGTTGGCTGCTGACACTGGAATTGCTAAAAACGCCCTCCTTCGCTTGCAGGTACCGGGACGACAGGGAGACAGCGGGTGCGGAGGAAGGAGGCGGTGTGAGTGGCAGAGTCGGGCCCCAGCCTGTGCGCTACCTGGGCCCCTCTACCAGCACGCAGATCACCGTGCGCAACTCCGCCTCGGTCCGGCTGGCTCAGGCTAGCGCGGGCCCCGCTGCCGTGCGGGTGCTGGCCAAGCGGTCTCAGAGCGGTGGCCACGGCAGGGCGGCCCCGAGCCCTGTACCCCCTGTGGGCGTGGAGACAGTGAAGTCTCCTCACTGTCATGGGGCCCGGAGCCCTGAAAATGGGGCTGCGCCCCCTCTGCCTGCACAGGCGCCACCGCCTTCGGACAAGGACAGGAGGGCCCCGCCCCGCCGAGTGATAAAGCTGAGGAGAACCCCGTTGTGCGCTGCCCCTGCCCCGCCCCCTCTGGAAGCTGCCAGCGCTCCGAGTGTACCCACTGGAAGCGCCAGCGGCCGGGCCGATGGCCAGGATGGGTAAAGTGTGGGCCCGACACTTCTGGCTCAGCTGCCGGGCCGGCCAGGCCAGCGGGAGGCCCACCCGGTGTCCCCCCGCGCTGACAGGAGGCGGGCTGGGGGTGTGGGATGGGAGGGAGACTGGCGGGCCCTGTTTCTCTCTCCCGGTTTCAGAAGGGTTGTTCGTGTGGCGGTCAGGTGCCCGGTTTTCGCTGCTGTGAACTCTGTTCACGTTAGTTGGTAGCAGGGCAGCCGTGGGGCACAGCAGCGGTGAGTCTCGTTGCTGCTGAAATGCAGAGCAGCGCAGACCGGGGTGTCTCGGTGTCGCCCTAGCACCTAGGAGCCTGGCCTGTCCACGAGGTGAGACAACAGGGAGGTGTCGCCTGCCTGCCTGGTGGTGGCGGTAGGGGAGTGGGTCAAGGCCGGCACCCGCCCGTGAGCGGGAAAAGCGGTCTGCGTCCCGGAAGGCGGATGGTGCCGTGCAGGCCGAGCGTTGCCTGTCGCGGACCTTGCTGCGCTCTCCGTGAGCAGAGCGGTGTGCACGCTGCGCGATGAGGCCCCGCGGCGGGAGCGAAGCGGCCTGGCGTGGGGCCCCGTGTTCAGATACTGTGTTTTAATTGGAGGCGTGAAGTTTTGAACATGCTTAGAAAGAAGTTTAAAATGTTTAATTTTTTAATTAAAGTTAATATTTGTTTTTTAGACGTGACCACTAGCTATTCTGATTATATGATTTTTATGCATAAAAGGTCTACATAACTTGAATTTAATATTTTTAAACAATTTGGATTAATCTATTTTTTCATGGCTGTTCCATTGTGTGTGTGTGTTCTTATGTGCTGTATTTTGTACACAAATTTCTGGATCACAGATTTCTGCTTTCAAATTTAAGTTCCTAAAGCAGGGTCCTTTCCACTTCCTTGCATTGCCTCAAAAGGGAAAATACACTCAAAACATCACTTCTTGCAAAATAAAAGCTTTTCCCATAAAAACAATTTTCTGTGACTATATTTATTTAAACCTCAGAGCCTTTTAGAAGTTTGAACGCTTGTTAGTTTACACAGGTTTTCTATTTCTGCTGGCAAAATTGCTGTCTTGCACAGATAATGTACAGAATAATCCCATTTTGGATAACTGTCCATCCATAAGTACCACCCTACTTAGGTAGTTGATCTGGATATAAAAGTAGGTGTTGAATTGATGATCTTTCATGACATTCTCCTGTGGAATATATGTTCAGTCACCTTTTAGAAATGCTCTTCTAGAGAACCCAGGTATCTGAAAATCAAAGACCACAGTGAGTTTTTGGAACTGCACTTCTGGACATTCTTAGTGTGAACTGATCTTGGACAATGAGATGCTGATTCGTATAAGAACACTTTATACTAATAAGTATACATAGTGTGTGTTTCATACGTAATAAACATTATCCAAGGAGGAAGGTTGCTGCGAGGTGACTCCATCCCTGTGCTTGAGGCACTTAAGGGCAGTCCCCGGAGTGTGCTTAGCCCTGTAAGGCCAAGTGTGGAGACACTGAGGGTGGCCAGAGCACTGGCAGCCCTCATGGGTGTGGAGTCACTGGCAAGTTCTGGGTGTTCCAGGCTGCATGGGGGTAACTTAAATTCATGTGCGTAAGTATTTTTTCTTTCACCTTGCATCTTTCACCCTGAAAACCTCATTCTGTTTTCAGACTGCAAACATGAGAGAGTGGGACCTTATCCTAAACCACTGCTCTTCTGGATAAAGAAAATAAAAGCTTTCTAAATGAGGATTTGAGCTGTGACATACACCTGTAATCCCAGCACTTGGGAGGCTGAGGCAGGAGAACCACAGGGTGTTTGAGGCCTGTCTGGGTACATAGTGAGACCCTGTCTCAAAAAACAAAAAAAAGGGGGGTTGGCGGTTGGAGGGGGAGCTTCAGTAGTTTCGTGGATTAGAAAACAGAGGTTCTGATGTGGAATATTTTTAAAAATCCACCTGTGCTGTTCCAGGTGGTGTGTGCTGAGCCCGGCTGGCCCTGGTGAAACTTCAGTTGTGTCACAGAGTGTGGGGTTGGCAAGAGGGACCAGCTGAAGACTGCTTCCCGACGGTGCGCTGTGGTGTAACTTACAAACTAAGCTCATGTGTTTTGCTGTGTTTTGGTTTCAGAACATTGTAATGAAGAATGTCTTTCCCAGTTCTTAACGCCCAAGAAAGCAGGTGCGGGGACGTGGCCGCATGGTGACGGGCACACAGCCCCTTGGCCCTGTGACTTGACACCCACAGGAGGACGCGGCTGTGAACGTGAACGCCTGTGGATTCACTTACCGTGTGCAAACACTGGAGCGTTGGTGCACACGCCCGTCTCCCGCAGGATGGAAACTGCCCGTGCTGCACCGCAGCAGCTGGTGTTCGGGGGTCTCCAGAACTTCGCCCAGCTCTGGGCCCCTACCCACGCGCCCCACGGTTACTTTAGAGCAGTTACATGGTAGAAATCTTGAGGGAGTACAGGAACTGATTTCTGACCTTTGCAGTTTCTACCATCAGAACAAAGAACGTGCCAGCGACCTCATCCGCCATGAGTAATGACTGTCTCAGTTACGAAACCTGGTACCGAGCCAAACGAAAGAGCCATGATGGGAGAGAGAGATCGGGGCTGCGGAGATGGGAGGGCCGGAGGGGGGGGGCAGTGAAAAGGACCGAGGTGGGCTCTGCATGTGGATCAAGGCCGTGGAATCACTACGCTGCAATAGCACGGATACAGAATTTAAAAGGTCTGGCAATCCTAATGTGTAAGTACCCTGTAAGGATATTTCATACCATACATGTATCTTTTAAGAGCAGTAGCAGCTCTGGATTAGTTGATTGTTACTAAATTGACAATAACATGAATAGTTAATAATTTGGAAGCTGGCATTGCCGGGACCCAAAGCAGCAGACCCAACGCTTCTGGCCTTGGAGGGGCAGGAGGCAGGGTGGCTGCCCCTCGTGTCACCTGCTGGTCGCCTCCTTCGGTGCTGATGCTGAGTATGTTGGGGGTGGGTATTACCCAGCTGTGCCCTGAGTTTTAAAGAAGGAAGTGGCTGATGGAGTATCTAGCTTTACTTGAGACATTGCTCGGAGAAGCTTGATTTACTGAGCGTCGTGGATGTGCGCGAAGGCCGGAGGGAAGGGCACATTTTATCAGCTTCATCTACCCTTGGTCCGTGTGGGTTAGACCCTGAAGGCAAAGCGCGGACCTCTGAGCAGAAAGAGCTTCTGGGACAACGGCAGGAAGCGTCTTCAGGTGATGTCCGCGTGTGCGCGAGTTACCTAGGAACTGTTAACCGGGGATACATTTGTCACCTGGGTGCCAGGGCCTCCGTCACTCCACCAGCAAGCTGCCGAGCCCTGTGTGTGGCGGGCTGAGTGTCGAGGCTGCAGTTCGTACGCGGCTTCCAGGCGTGCGCTGCGGTGCGGCCAGGCCCGAAGCGTCTCCAGCAGGCTGCGTGGTGGGTAGCCCTGAAGGGGCCTTTTCCACGGATGGCCCGGTGAGAAGGAGGCTGGTGTGGTCACAGAGGAGCATTTGTCTCCTGCAGCAGGGCCCCGCAGCTCACGCTTGCCCGCTAGGTAGTCTCTGATGTAGGCTGAGGCTCAGACGAGGAGAGTCTGCCGCGATGGCCGCGGTGCTCGTGTCTCGGTCACTGCCCGTCCTCTCACAGTGTTGCGGCTCAGAGTTTTCATTTGCTTCTGTTGCCTCCAAAACCCTTGTTAGTAAAATTTTGCTGAGCTGCAAGTAGGAATTGAGGGGCCTGGGGCTTAGAAGAGAAATGTTTTAAAAACAAAGCATCGTGGAAGGAAAAAGGCAGTACATTTGCCAGCATTGGGAAAAGGCAAATGCTGCTTCTGCCAAGATTTCGTAAAATGTTGGGCCTTTTTGCTTTCATGGTGGCTCTTCCACGAATTCATTCCTAACTTCTTCACCTAGAAGGCCTGGGAGTTCAGTCTGAGCGCACGCAGCGCCAGTGGCTGACGGACATCAGAAATGACCTTTACTTACAGCTGTGTGCCGGCTGACTGGTGCTGGCACTGAGCCGGCCACGAGCCCAGGGCAGCTGAAGGATCGGGCACCAGGCGCTGCTGGAGTCCCCTCTTCCACTGCTCCCTTTCTCCACATCTGTCTTCTCTTGTCTTAGTCTGTTTTGCTGTAATGCTACCGGGGATGGTGATTTACAAGGAACAGGGATTTAAGTTTTGCATTTGGAGGCTGGCAGTCCCAGGTCAGCGGCCCCCATCTGTCCAACACCTTGCTGAACTGCCTGGCACGGGCCCTGTGAGGAGCCCCGCGGACTGAGCACCTCCCGCAGGCCGTGGTTGGGGCTGGTTTCCAGCGCATGCGCTGCAGGGACCCGTGGATCAGGGCCGCCCGCACAGGCCGGCCTCACGCAGCTTCCTGCCCATTGTGGGCTCCGCAGCCCCCTGAGCAAAGCACCTGGTGCTGGGCAGGGTTGCCTGGCGGCTTCCTGCCCTGGTGGGGTGGGAGGCCCAGACCTCAGCTTCGGGGGCTCTGCCTCGCCTGGGGCTGCTAGCTGTGACTCCTCCCTGTTCCAGTGGCCCCTCTGTTCTTCAGAGTTCTCATCCCTTAGTGGTGAACCCTCTGTTCAGTTACTGCTCCACACCTGTCTCCCCCATGAATGTACCAAGCTTGGTCACCGGCTGCTGCCTGGCCCAGGAGGTGCCAGATGCTGTCCCAGGGCTTTGCAAATACTCGCGCACTGCGTCCTCGTAGCGGCCCTTCAGTCCTGTGAGTACGGGCTCCCTTTTGCCCAAGGAGAAGCCAAAGCGGTGAGACGTTTGCAGCGCTGCCCGTAGGTGGTGCAGCCTGGGCTTGAATCCAGCGGGTGGCTTCAGGTCAGGACCTGAGCTGCTTCGCTCTCTTCCCATCTCTGCACTTGTTTTGTGGATTGTGCAGAAGCCCGTCACACTGCAGCGTCCCCTGGAGTGCCACATCTTGTCTTGCTCCCTGGTCAGCGGTTGCTGAGTGCTCACTGGGCATCACATAGTGACGCGTAGGTTATAAAAGGGTGGGGTTTAAAGAATGCGCGTGTTCTCTTAAGAGACTGGGTCTAATTCACCTGAAGTGTCCTTAGTTAAAAACAAGGTAATTTTGAACAAGAAATGCTTTTAACACTCTTATTTACTGTAGAAGTTCTCTGCCACAGTCACAGTTCTTTTAGTCATTCATTTATTTGCTTTTGGCCAAATATCTACATACTTTTCAAATAAACAAATTTGCTTTAGGATTTATTTATTGTGGAACTTACACCCTGAGGGCACTAGGTGCTCTTCTGCACCACGGGGCAGTAAAGAGTTAAGACGAGGGGCCTCTGAGAAGCCTAACCTCGTGGAAGAGCACCTCCACGAGATGCTGAATTGGGCGGGGAGGGTGGTGTGAGGTGACATGGGTTCTGCGCTGCCGTGGAGGAACCTGTGTTTCTGCTGCTCTGCCTCGAGGGTGGGGAAGTGTTTCTTGAAACAGGCAGAAAACTTCCTTAGGATTCATAAAAGCTTATTAGAAACAGCAAGAGGAAAAACAGGATCCTGGGAGTGTAAAGAGGCGTCTAAAACCGTGCTTCCAGTTCTCGGCTCAGGGACAAGAGAACCACGGGGCCCTAGGAACTGCGTTGTCTTTTTTCCCTCACAAAATTAAGAGCAAGTTAGGTGGCTCACTCCTTTTAGGAAAATGTGGGCGAGGTATATCAGCTTATTGAATTACTTCGTCTTTTGCAGTTCTACAGTTGTTTAGGCGCTCTGGGTCGAGGGACTGGCTTCGCTTTTGTTACCTGGGAAGGTGGAGTCTGCACCCCCATGCCCGTTTTCAGCTTTGCCAGAGGTGCCGGGAGCTACCCTTGCTGACACGTGAGGGTGCTCCACACGGCAGTGCAGGCCGTGGTCACTGTGACCCGGGCTGGGCCTCCGCCCCGCTGATCAGCCTAGGAAAAGAACTATGCAGGTCCTCGATCCCCACTTCTCATCACTGATTCAAGATCGAGGCTCAAGTCTAGGCTTCCTGAGTGAGAATTCCCAAGCCCATTACTCTAGCAAAGAAACGTGTGTGGTAATTTGTTTGTTATCTCACCTGATGGCGCATCCCTAAGCGTATTTAATTAGACGCTCCTGAGGCCAGCAGAGCTGTCCCGCTCGTGGCTGAGCCTCGCCTGAGTTTGGGGTGTTGCTAGTCTCCCCGCCGCGGTGAGTCTGCACTGAGGGTGAATTCTGCAGTGACTTGTGTTGTCCTTTCTGTGCCGCGCTGCAGTGAACCGTGTGGACAGGAGCAGTCGGCGGCACAGAGCGGGCTACGAGGCCCTTCTTAGGCGGACGGAGACTCGGAATGGAGCCGGGAACTCGGCAGGAGGCTCGGATCTCACAGCAGTCCTGATGGAAGATCTGTGCGCTGCCGTGGGGCTGAGGTTCCTGTGTGGGTATCAAAATGTTGTAACCTCTATAGAGAAACGCTTAAAGCAGAAGGACCCATTCTTCTGACGTATGTGCATTCAGCAGAGAAGTTAGTGTCCAAAGCTCTTGGCTTTTAAAAGGAGTGGAAAACATTTGAAAGAGTGGCAGAGTATGACCCAAATCTCTAGGGTCAACAAATGCACCGCCATAAAAAAACACACGAGGCTGTGTGGCAGAGCATTGGAATGGTCTGGCACTAACGTATTTCAATTACCATTGCAAAAATGCACATGCCGAGTCGAAGGCAAAGATCTAGGGAAAATGCCATCAGGCCTGAGCACTCTTTAGCCTCCTGTGCTGCTTTCCAGCCACCTGGGGGTGCTCGGCATGCTTAGGAAAGGGCTGCCTGAACCCAGAGCAGCTTAGGAGGCGATGCTGGGTCAGGAGCATGGTGAGGCCCAGCAGTCCAGTTGCCAGAAGATCTAAGTCACCTTTAAAGCTGTCGCGCTGAAACTGGTATCTTTCAGTGGTGAGCAAAATCTTGTTACACCAAATGTGCAAAATCCTCCTGCCTTACATAAATTCAGGACCTCAGATGTAATTCAGGTAAACAGAGGCTGCAGCCCTGCACATTCATCTTTCTTATTTGGACGAACAGCTCTTCCTTTCTCCCTGGAATGTGACTTACCGTTCTGAATTCCTGTTAAGTCTCAGTGCTGTAGCGAGAGCAAACCTTCCTGTACTTGGCAAGAGATGCGGATGCTGTGTGGCTTGCAGGTTCAGTGAAAGGCTGCTGTGAGGCGACAGTGAGCCCAGGCTGCCGGGTCAGCATGGAGCTGAGCAGCAGCACTGCGGCAGGAAGTGGCCAGCGGACCCGGAGGGAGCCTGTCACTACAACGGAATGCCTGGGGCGTGGTGTGCGGGCCTCCAGTGGCTGTGAGCCTCTCCGAGGCCTTGGTGGACCCTGTCCCTGTGGCCCAGGAGTCTGGGGTGCTGGCCCCACTTAGGGCTCTGATTCCTTGGGATCATGCAAGTTGGCGTTAGCTACTGGGGATGGCCTGGGTCTCCAGCCAGCAAGCGGTGGCCTGCACAATCCTCCTTGGGACTTGGGGAAAAGATTTGCTCTGTGCAGAAGCTCCCCAGAGAGCTCTTCCTTTCCGGACAAGAGAAGCGAGACTCAGGGCTTAGGGGAGTGGCCCAGTGCACCCTTCTGAGTATGGTGTCAGCCCGGGGGGAGGCCTGGGGCCGTGGAGAGGAAGAAGCTGGAGCCTAAGCAAGCTGGACGCACGGCACTCTGTGGCTGGCTTTCCACCACGCAGCTAGCTACAAAACGCTCCCTGCTCTAAGCCAGGTCTAGCTGGAGTTTGTCACTTGGAACCCAAGTTTCCTGCTGCCATGTGATAGCTGTGACTGAGGTCTGAGGCCACCTACCTGCCTTAACTGAAGGTCCCACGTTTTCTGAGAGGGTGTATGTGTACTCCAGGGAAGTGCTATGTGGACCTCTGTCTCGAAGGTACTACAGAGAACATGTGGTAAGAAGTCAGGCATCAGTAAAATAAGCAAGACAGGTGTCAAATGCAGCATATTTTAATTTTGTTCAAATAAAGCAATATATGTATATATATATATTTTCCAGAAAAACACCAGATGTGAAATTCTACAAAAGCACATGTG